GAGGAGTCTCCAACCTTCTTTTGTACTACATGCAGAGAGAGAGCTACAGAGCAAGAGGGGGTAACCCTACACAGAACTTACATTTTTGGGTGGCAGCCCCAGGTTTCTTGTAACTTACTTCCATCCTTATAGTGGCCCTTAAAAAAAGGTCATAATTTATCTGAACTGAGAAAGTTCCAGGGTCCTTAGGAGGTGAAATGATTCCCCATATATTCTGTAGAATAACCTAGTCAGCAAAACACATGCTGCAGTCCAGTTTTGACTCTATTAACCTCTGCAGGAGTTTCACATGCTCACACCTTTTGTCCCCTTTGAGTTCCTCTAGTCACCAGGATCTCTTTCAATTGCCTCAGTAAAAATGATTAATTAGAACCCAGTGGGTTACTGAGCAGTGTGACTGTGGTGGCTTGTAGCTTTCTGATATTCTGCTCAGTAATAAAAGAGAATTTATATGTTCTTATTGCACATACACACTTTACAAGTGTTAGATCTGCAGAAAGACGACTGTGTGCTGTTATCTTGTCAAAGCTCATGAATTAAACAGGCGAGTCAGAACTGGTCAATATTTGGATGGGAGCCCTGACGAAAAATCTACATTGCAGCAGAAAGTTCTGCTTGTAATTCACTGGGTGACACACTGTTCTCTGAACCAGTTTGGAACTGGTTTTAGGGGGCAAGGAGAGATGCTTGATTTATAAAGCTCTTAAGTTACAGGTGTCTAACATAGTTGGGTAAAATAGCTCTTAAATTGCAGGATGTAATACTTTATTCTGCATTAGTAAGATCTCATCTGGGATACTGTGTCCAGTTCTGAGTGCTATACATTTATGCAGACAAATTGGAATGGGATCTAGAGGAGGCCAGTGAAGATGGTCAGAAGTTTTGTAAACAAGTTCTATGATGACAGATTGAAGGGTGTACTTAACCTAGAGAAGACTGAGAAGGAATGTGATAACATTCAAATATCTGAAGGGCTTGCTACTTAGAACGCGGGGAAACAAGCTCATTTACAGCATATGATTTCCCCTCAAAGAATCTTAAGGGTTCTATTTTGTTAAAAGATGTTGGGAACAGGAACTCTTGTGAGGTGTAAGCTAGAATTCCCAGGATTATTTGAGGGGAGGTCATGTGCTGTGCTTTGAAAGTGTGATGCACACACAGATTTCCCCTCTACTGCCTCAGAAGAGGGCAGGACTAGATGGGCTTAAGTTGCTGGAGGGAATATTTTGGCTGAGCACCAGGAAATGGAACCAATTGTTTAGGCCTATCTCTCACTGGACGTTTTCAAGCAGAGGCTGGTCAGACATCTATTAGGGATGCTCTAGCTCTGAGTTTTCTGAAGTGGGCAGGGAGTACAAGTAAATGGCTTAAAAGGAGAACCCCCCAGAACAGCACACAGCTGAGAGGAGAAGGGAATTGTTCTATCTGGCAACCTGCAATGCTTACACAGACACAATGTTCGTAATAGCGCAATGCTGAATTCCATCCATGGTGTGTATTTGACCTATGATTCTAAATGTTGCTTTTGATACAAATGACAGATCTCCCAGTGGCCACTGCCTCCCCTCAGGGAAGGAGAAATGTGAAAGCCCAAATAATTCCCCGACCAAGTTAACAGCTTGGACCCACGAGAATTATGTTCAAGTCCCATCTTTGTCAGGGATGGCAACCTAGAGAAAATCACTGTCTCTCAGTCACAGCCCCCTTCTGCATATTAGAAATAATACTGCCCTGGAATATATATTATATTATATTATATTATATTATATTATATTATATTATATTATATTATATTATATTATATATTATTTTATTTTATTTTATTTTATATTAATTTATGCCATTGTGACCCACTTCACAGAATTGCAAGGGCAAGCACGGGGCTTTGTAAAATACTTTGCAAATGAACACTGCAAATATAAGAACGTGTACGGTTTTGAGAAGAAGAGGTATGAATTTATACATAAGGCAGAAATTGACTGGCAATAGGCTCCAATCAAAATAAAGTACTATTTTATGCGCCTGATTTGTGGAATTGGCTTGACAATGTGTAGTAATGGCCACCGATGGGATGGCATTAAAAGGGAATTAGACAAATGCATGAAGGATATGTCTATCAGCAGCCATGATAGTTATGCCTCTGAATCCCTGTTGCCAGGGAACAACAATGAGGGAGTACTTAATAGCTCAGTGGTAGAGCACATGATTTGTATGTAAAAGGTTCCCATTTAAATCCCCGGATTCTACAGGTAGGGCTGGGAAAGCTCCTGTCTGAAACTCTGGTAAGCCACACCCAGTCAGTATATGAAGACAGTACTAAGCTAGATGAACCTATGAGCTGATTCAGTATAACACAGGTTCCTGTGATAGCTGTTGACTCCTTGCCCTGCTTGTGGACTCTCCAGAAGCATATACCTTAGGATCAGAATGGTGGACCAGATGCAGCTTTGGCCTGATTCACATGCCATTTTTATCTCCTTATGCTTCCTGAGATGGCCCAGGAATGAGGTTCTCATGAACCTTGGGCTGTATTAGCTTCCTCAGGATCCTTCTTCCAAGAGTAGCTTCCCAAATACGTTTCTGATTCATGACCCTAAAGACTGTATGACTGTATCATGTCCCCAGTTCATGCTTCACATTGGTCCACATGAGTCCATACCCAATAGACATCCAGACTGTTTTTAAATGCAGTGTGTGAACCAGCCCACAATGGTTGCATTTTATTGAAGAGCTATAACCATTCATAATATCAAAGGAAATTTCACCCGTGAATTTTTTTAATGAACTACCAACCGAATATAAAGTATGAATATTACAATGAAATCCCCCAGTTTTGTCTTCCATACACGCTTTTATACAAAAACTGCATTACCTGTAATGACTTTACATGATATTTACATGTGTTGATTACCGGCTCCAGTCAGGAAAAATATTTATTTTCCAATGGTAGTTGTTCACTGTCTGCGTAAAAGATCCTCAGTATGACTTTACTTCTCCAGTATCACCCAGCAACGGTTAGATTTTGGAGACCAAGCCAGACTCAAACTTGTCACATTTTTTGTTAGAGTAGGAGTTGGGTAACAACTTTGAACTATCAGAATCCTTAAGGGAACGAATTAAGAGAGAAACATGCTGCACAAAGCCAGCACTAAGCAACTGGCATTCAACAAAATGGCACACAGTACATAGAACAAAGAGCTGAAGGTACAGAGTCTCAGTTGTACTGAAGCCAAAAGATCTGAGCAGCTCAGGAATAAATTGGCGGATTGATTCAGATACGGACAGGTGCTAAGAAAGTTATTTAGTAAATGTTCAAGGAATCTGCAGGGAGGGAAGAGAAATGTGTTGCTTTTGAGATAATTTCCCAGAAGCTTCATAAAAGAAAATTGATTACAAGGATTTAATAAGTAAAAGAGAGCCAAAATATATAGTAATCAAATGAGTTTTTAATTACATCTCAGGCAGATATAAAATCCAAATAGTGTACTTTGTATCCAGAAAGTCTGAGAGTAATGCTTTGGTGGCTGAATTATTTTTAAAAGGCTAATTTCCATAGGAATTATAGTAGTCTGTTTAATTAAAAGAGTGAATCTGTGTCCCAAAGCCAAAGTGTATTAAAATGTACAAATAGGGCTTAAATATCAAAGCAGCCTCTGAAGAAAGGCATTTTATACCCTATACATAAAATCTAGCCTTCAGAGTTTTTCTAGTCCAAATGTCACCTGATTAATGTGCATAACAAACGATGGTATTTTTTAATTACACTATATATTTTATCACTATTCTATAGAATTAATTGCCTATACTTTACTTATGACTGAAAAATCAAAGACCATGGAAATATCCCCTTCAATTTATTTTACTCAATTTTAATAACCCTAAGGCAATAAGGAAGAGCATTTGAGGCTGGCAAGTGTCCTCATCCTTGTTAGCTAATCTGAACACACCTGAGTTGCTAGGCTCTTTTAATATACATAAAAATGTACTATATGTATGAATGATAGAAGGCATGGTCATAATCAGTTTATGAATGTATGTATGCTTTTTCCACAGATACATTTGTGCTCAAGGTGGTTTACTTTACTTGCATGATTTTAACTTGCTTTCCAGAAGAGCACATTACCGGCCCCCTTTTCTTCCAAGGATCCCATAGAGTAGGAGTGGAGAACCTCAGGACCAGCAGAAGAATGCAGCCAGGCTACTCTTTGCAACCCTTGGGACCCTCCTTAAGCCACATCTTCACCCACCTCTAGTGCTTGAACTGAGATAATGTCTGTTGCTTGTCTGGATGAAGGGTGTGTGTGTGTGTGATTGCATTTTACTTTGTGGACCCAGGCTTGCTAAACCAGAAGTGAGGAATCTATGGTCCTCCTTATGGTGCTGGAGTCCAAATCCCATCACCCTTGGCCTTTGGCGATGTGACTAAAGGGAATGGGAATTGGGAGACCAACAACATTTGTAGGGCCAGAGATTCCCTGCTCCTGCATTAAAAGTTGTATTCTAGAATAGTAAAGGTAAAGGGACCCCTGACCATTTGGTCCAGTCGTGAACGACTCTGGGGTTGCGGTGCTCATCTTGCTTTATTGGCCGAGGGAGCCGGCGTACAGCTTCCGGGTCATGTGGCCAGCATGACTAAGCTGCTTCTGGCGGACCAGAGCAGCACATGGAAACGCCGTTTACCTTCCCACCGGAGCGGTACCTGTTTATCTGCTTGCACTTTGACGTGCTTTTGAACTGCTAGGTTGGCAGGAGCAGGGACCGAGCAACAGGAGCTCACTCCATCGTGGGGATTCGAACCGCCGACCTTCCTCTGTGGTTTAACCCACAGCGCCACCCGCGTCCCTATTCTAGAACAGTACATATCAGCAAAAAGACGCCATGTCTCATAAAATGTTCCAGAAGCGAACCTATCTCACAGAGCTCCAGGGAATACTGAACTGAGCAAAGATTCTATATTTTCAGTGGACTGAAGTGACTCCTATTCTTCTGCTTTCTCCCAGGCTTTGGTGAAAGTGAATGGGAAACTGAAGCCTATGATGGATTCGGTGGTGGCCAATAGAAATAGGTGGGAGGAGCTGCACCAAAAAAGACTGCATTCCCAGGCAACCAGCACCACCACCACGTCCTCGCCGTCCTCTTCCTCCACCTTTGCCATGTCTCGGGGGGTCATAAATTAAGTCGGCACATGTTTTCCTGCTGCTAGGATAGGAGGTGTCGGAAAAGCTTGTTTAAAGCTTAGTTGCGTCATTTTAAAACAAACAAAACAAATGCTTTGTCACAAACATGCTTAATTCAAATGAAGACAACCCGGCTGGTTTAGGCCTTTTTTTCTCCTGGAATTTCACTTGGTCTGAAGGGAGGATCTGCAATTCTGTTGGTATCTTCAGTGACATGAGCAGCTTGGTGCAGCCCGCATTCGGTCAGCTTATTTCAAGCTGCTGTTTTGAAAGATGGCAAACATGGTCATAAAGGACTGGCGTAAATGAAGCTTACAGCTTAGTTTAATTAAGAGAGAGCATGGCTGAAATTTTGTAAAAATGACTGAGGCATCTGCAAGGGGCTCGGGGGGCGGGGCGGGAGAGAATAGTTTGTAATAATAACTTGGGTTTGCACTAATTCAGCATTTACTGATATGAACCAGTTATTACCTGCACTTCTCATAGTTATCCTTTTTATTGTGCTTGAATGTTCAGAGAAGCCTGCATTGTATTTATTCTACAGGAGGGGTTTTTGGTTGTGTGTGCTTTTTTTTACAACAAAGCTTCAAATGATTGATCGGGGTTTTTAGAACTGCCTGTCTTTGCTCTATCGAAGAGGAGATATGAACTTCATTACATTCAAAAACACCAACCTGTTCTGGCTTCCTTAAGACTTTCGTACTAGCAATGCAATTTGAATTGTTCTGCAGGCAGAAGCTTCTATAAAGGTAAAAATTCTGCATGGTAATTTGGGTTCCTTTAGAATTTTGTTTTAAACATTTTTAAAGCTGCTTTGCGCCCTAAGAAAAAAACCAATGGTATTTCATGAAAATTACATAATAAAAATGAAATCTGTTGCCTTCTGGTAGAGAATTTGCACTATACGGTATGAACATGGCTTTCTAGTATATTTTCTGAATCACATTAACTTTGACTATTACTGTTAAAGATTGGTATGACACTGGAGTATGTCACAAATGGAGCAATGACTACCTCTGCTTTTTTCTGGCCAGGTTGGTTTTAGTTTTTTTAACAATAACATGTTGGCCTCATCCATTATTGCAGCCAACCAAAATCAAGTCAAAAATTGCATGTACTGAGGATACAGTGAACGTTTTGCATATTGTGTGAAATCAGTGTGATTCATGTTTAATACCGAAATACATCAGTGGAGTTGCCTGCACTGGAAATGAATGCTCTTTTATTTAAGCACATCATATTTAGCAAAATTTCAGTACTGCTGGAATGGCATTGCTGCTCCTGAATCACATCCTCTTCCCTAGTTAGCATTCGAATTACATGGTCTGTTCAGGTTCATTTCATACAACCAGTTACACGTGTTGGCCTGGATGTACCAGCAAGCAATGCTCACCACATGGAGAATGTGTCGTGCGATTGCTTCACCAAACGACCAGACCCCAACTCTTAATTATGTGAGCTGGGTGTTCACTGAAGAGACCAGGTAGCTTTACCTCTGCATCTTCTACGCTGCATACAAAGCCACACAACTCACATTCTTAGCATGCCAGCTTGGACCTCTGAATTGACAGGATTACTGTTGGCTACCTGGGATTTTCGTACAGAATGGTGGCTGCCTGTACTTTCTGTTGTTATCACCCTCCCAGGGTGGTAGTACACATGGCACTGTCTTAAGTACTCAGAAGTATAGATTTTTGTAAAAGGGGGAGGGGGTTCGGAAGGAACCAAACCACTTGACAAGAACCTGTTTCCAGGATTTCCGGAATGGGGGATGGAGAGGAGAGTAGGGGAAGCAGAAATGAAAATACACAGGTAGGCTGTCAGGCTGTTAATTAAGTCTTTGGCCACCACAGCAGCTGAGACACAAGTGCCAGCTGAACACAGAACAAAAAAAAAAAGGAATGGGAATCGGCAGACGAGAGAGAAATTACCTCTCTTTCTGTTCCCCATTTCCCCTTTTCAATCTTCTTAACAGTAAGCATCCTGGAGGAAGAGATTGGGGGGGGGCACCACAAAGTTAAACACCCACCCACCCCACACACTATATGTTTCAGAAGAGCAAAGGAATGAGGATCCTTTTTCCTGTGCCCATGCATAATAGTAAATGCTCAGGTTTGGAGGCTGTCAGCCCTCGCTAGAGCTATATAGCACAACAGGGGAAAGCTCCCCCACCAAGCCTTGAAACATCCACAGCCCTACTCAGCTTGAACTCTCCCTACATGGCAGGGGGCCATGCATCTTTGTGTGTTCTCTGTGCTAGGATGCGCTGCACTTGCTCTCATTAAGGGCCAGCCCAGCCAGTGTAGAAAAGGTAGGAGGAGTTGCCCAACTGCAAGTGTCCCCAGCTGCAGCATTCTACTTACCCATAGGAAGGAATAGCGACCATTCAGTTATATGGGAGAAAGGAAAGGGCTACTTATGTGAAGGACCTCTAATAAGTTGGATCAGATGGAGAAAACAGTAGGGCTCAGATATCCCACTTCTTTTCTCTCCTCTTGGACCATACCCCTATGGTGCAGGCAGGACAGCTTTTTAGCCTCATGACATGCAACTGCCCAACTCTTAAGTCTCCCCACCCCGTCTTTCTAGGATATTTACTAATGTATAAACCTTCAATCGTTTAGTCATGCTATACAGTATTCTTCTTTCACCCGCCCCTTTCCCTTCTCTCTGACACCTCCACATTCTTCCTTGAAGCTGGGGTTTAAATTTGGGCAATCATAGAAATATTAGTAATTTAGGGGGGGAATAGTTATATGTAAGTCCAGCAAATCAAAGGGAAATGTACCAAGGCAGTTTCCCTAATGTCACAGTAGTTGCATATAAGCACTTGTTGGGGTTTTTTTTTACAGTGGTGTCCTGGGTGAAAGGAAGAGTGTTCACCCTCTTCTAATGCAGAATCCAGCAGAACGTTCACGGCTGTATTGTGCAGCTGCAGAGGGTTTTGTGTGTATGCAGATAGAGCTTGTTGGCTGTACTATATAGGTATGTTGGTTTCAAATTGTCGCTAACTACAGTAAGCATCAAATGCAGACATGTCTGGTTTCTCAGTTGAAGAGAGGTGCTATAGCCTTTACTCAATGAAACGTAGTTTCTGTCTAGAAATCTTAGCAATCTGAATGCTGCAATATGAAACGTACTGCTTGTTCTCTGTCAGTGTCTTCTGAATGCATGCCAATCTGTATTAAACATACTTCTTATATTAGGATTTCAGAATCTTAAAACCGCCTGACTTAAGAAAACAAGGTGCTATGTTCATCCACTTTTGAAGGGCCCGCAAACATTGTAGACGAATTGCATTGCAGAAACATCAGTGGGAATGAATCCTGAATTACGATGTTGCGGACACAGATTTAAGACTGGAGGGAGGAGCAGAGATTTGCCACATCCTGTATAGCACAAAGTTCACAAAAGAATTTTTGGAAATCTGTTTATATTACCGGATGATCTTCAAACCTTAATATTATTTTGTTTGTAGTAATGTTTGAAGAATGAAATGAACAATGTTATTTTAACAAAAATGCAAAACAGCTAAATTCTTTTGCCAAAGAGCAGACAAGGAATGGGGAAATCCATGTTACTTGCTACAGAGATGAATACTTGCACTGTTTGAACTTGTTTTTGTTACCTCTCCACTACCTCCCCTCCCCTTTTCTTCCCCAATAATAAATAAAGAACTGGGATGGCATGCTTTAAACCACATAAGGCTTATTTATATAATATGTGCTTTATGGCAAAAACAGACACTGTGATTGACTTGGTCCTGCTGGCAGCTGCATAAAGCTTTCCTGGATTTTGATACAGCATATTGCTAAGTGTGACATAATTTATAGCACATAACCTACAGCTTCTTCCAAGGTTGAGTGTTCCCTCATTTCCTCTCCTTTTTATTGGCTTCAGCACATTGTTGCCCATGGCAACAGCAGTGGCAGTGACAGGAATGCAAAACCACTGCAAGCTGACATACATTCGAAGCCCTAACAATGTCAACCATCCGTCACATAGCTATTTGTAATTGCCTCCATCTATTTCCGATGTCTTTTGGTATCTTTTCTATTGTGGATCAAAATTCAGAATCTGCTGACTAATGCTGTGGTTCTGATTCACCCCTTCCCCTCAACTCCCTTCCCCTCTCCTGACAAATTTGGCGTTGGCTGCATTCATACATGATGCTAAACAGTGGTTTAACCAATGGTTCAACAAACCATGAATCATCTCACAGACAAGCAAATCGGCCTAGGGTTTATTTTCCAAAGCTTGGTTTATTTTCCAGCTGCTCTTGCCCTGTGCTTTTGTTGCTTAACAAGTATCGCTGGTAGGATGGCCCAACAAAACATGCTTAAGCAAAGCTGCTGGGTTCAGAGATTATGGCAAACCATAGTTAAACAATGGTTCACAAGCAGACAAGAAACAATGGCTTTCCTAGTTTAGTTTGCTGGGCTGGGTTCACACATTCAAACAAACTATATTCCAGCTAAACAACTATGATTTAGTGTTAGGTGTGAACTAGGCCATTCCTACATACTGAAGCAGCTTCTTGGAAGCTGGGAATCATTACAATTCTATATTGTAATATTTTGAGTACCTGAGTTGTTGGATTTGGAAGTGGTTGTACTTGCCTAGTGCTTGCCAGATAGTCATAACATATTAAGTAGTGAGCCCCAGTTTTTAAATTTAGATCTAGCAATCAGATTCCCATCTTGTATTATTCTATGATTCTAGACACCAAGAAGTAAATAGAGAAACCTGTGTAGTAAGTGTATTAGATAAAACGTACAATAGCATTGATCTAACAGTTGTGTTTTCTGATTACAAGAGTGTACAATAGCTTCCAAATACATGTAATTGTGGAAAAATAGAAAACAACAGTTTTCACAAAAGTGTAGGTTCTCCCCACCCTCTAAACGAGCACAGAGAGAGGGAATGTCACTCATGAAGCGTATTTTATTTGCTGCTGCTTGTAAATATTAATTTTGACACTGTTCATGTCACAGTTAGAAAAGCCATGAAAAATATAATGTGAGATTGTTTATATGAACAGAAGTACATTGTCATTGTTGGAAAAAGGAAAGGAATACGATCCCACTAACTAGCTTGCGTACTGAACACAGATAGTAATCAATTTATCCACTTCCATAATTAGCAGAATATTTTCCCATTAAAATATTACTCACCATACATTATGCTTCTATTTACAAGAAAGGAGACCAGGTGGAACTTTTTGATGGTAAGAGATGTTCAACTGTGGAACAGACTTTCAGAAGACTTTCAGTTTTAAAGCAGAGGTTGGATTACCATCTGCCATGGATGCTTTAGTTGAGATTCCTGCATTGCAGGAGGTTGTACTAGATAGCCCTTGGGGTCCCTTCCAACTCTACTATTTACATTTAAAAAGAACTGAAGCCAATAGTATCTGATGTGAAAATAAACTTACAGAATGTCAAAATCAGTAGTTTATTCAAACCAGATACAGTACATAGTAGTAATGCTATCTGTGCCATGATAAAACAAAACACATCCTATATGTTGTGTGCATGTAATCGTCTATTTGGCATTTGACCAATATACCAATTCGGCATTATTTTTACAATCACATTTGTAGCAATTCCTGCCCACCCAAGAACATCAAGGCACAATACATGGAGTTTTAAAAAAATAATGGTATCCTTCAGAACACTATTAGGCAAGTTAGGGTAGGAGACTGTTACTGGTCCTAAGTTAGTAAGAGAGCTTACATTAGCCAAGTCCAAATTTGAGCCCAAGGCTCTGCGGTCCTGCATGCCTTCAACTATGCCATACCAGCTCATACATGAACAAGAGAGAAAGAGAGGGACTGCCAGAATATGAGAATGCAATCAAGGAAGAAGAGCTGGTCCTCTTCCCATTCTATCCCTGCCTCAGTTTCAACCTGAAAAATTAATTGGCATGTTTGTGTAAGGTGAAAAGGATTCAAACCAAAATAATATAAAATTCAGGGATGGAGAACCAATGGTCCTCCAGATGTGGGTGGACCACAGTTCTCATGAGCCCCAGTCACCATGCATGGCCAATGCCCTGGGGGCAGTAATGCTTCTGAATTACCAGTTGCTGGAAACCACAGGAGAGAGTGTGCTCTTGTGCTCAAATCCTACTTGCGGGTTTTCCCCAGGTATCCAGGTAGCTGTTGAGAGAAGATGCTCAACTAGTTTGGTCATTGGCTTGATGCATCAGGCTCTTCTAATGTTCTTATGACAGGAGTTGTAGTCACAACATACGGAGGATCACAGGTTTACCACCCCAATACAAACTAAATATAATAAAGAGGGGCTTGGGAGTTACTATGGGATTGTTTATTATGTACTAGAAATGTCTTGCTTTTGTGTGTGAATATCTCATGTTGATCATTTTTTAAAGAATGACTTTTTTAAACATTTTCTAATTTTGATGTTTGAGGTTATGGGCATGTTAAGAGTTTCACCAGTCAGCGGTGAGAGATACTGTTACAGACTGCCTGTCAATATGTCTGTCACATTATATGAGAGCATATTTTAATTAAGGTTTTTAAAAAAACCTCACAAATGAATCATGTGTACCATAAACATGCATATTCTGTGTAATTTGCGTTTGTATGATTATATATGTCTATTTATTTCTGCCTCTTTAATACAGCTCACTCCATTCTTTGCCTTAGCTCATCCAACAACTCCAATTCAACTTTTATAACAGCATGTTTTTGAAATGGGTAACTCAGTTTGTTTTATCTCACTAAATAAAAGAATAAATCACTAAATGGATGCCTCACATTTTTTTAATTAGGGTTCACAGCTTACTTTTAGTGGTTATTCAGTGACATAAAAAGAGAAGACAGAATACAAAATTTTCATGGGTGCGTGAATGGTATCAGATCTGTGCCATGGTTCTTGTGGCCTCTATTCTACAGATGAATAACCCTGTGGGTGTCCCACTATCTTCAAATGATCTTTCTGCCAGGTAAGTGCATGCTCAGACTGCATATGCTTCCAATAGTTGCAAGATTCCGGGCATGTAGAAAAATCTCACTCATGCAACTTGCATGCTTCTTGGCTTCTTTTCCTTGTGATGATGTGTGGCAGAATGGGGTCAATTTGAACTTTCCTTTGAAGGGAAACTAATGTTTTTTAGGCACCACACCTGTGAGCTTATATTTGCTTTTCCAACTGATCTACCAAAAGAGAAGCATCAGACAGGAAATGGCTCATCCTTCTCCCACCCACCACTTACCCCTGAAAATCAACAGGCACAGGGAGTTAAAAGTACACACTTCTTCGCTACAAGTGGTGCCCCTCCACCACATTACTGCAGAGAAGGGCAATTTTTTTATGAATTCTTAAGTACAATAATGATAGGGAACTGCACAAATTACAGATTTTACAAGATGTGCATTTTTTTCCACCACTTTTAGAAGCCAGAAGCCTAAATTTTTATCAGGATTGATTTCCGTTAGCCTTACATTTTTTCCTAAGCTGTTCACAAATGCTCTTGAGCAACTTGAGTAAAATCCCATGAAGGGTTAATTCTGTGGCTTTTTATAACACTGCATTACGTTTATTGCTTAACCAAATTACAGCATTAATTAAAAGACCCTACTAAAAGTGCTGCCTACCAGCTTCTATTCCCTAAGGGCCTATCAAAAGTGAATGAAGTTGGACAGTGAAAATTAGAGGAAATGGCCATGCCAACTCTGGTTTGTGATTTGTGTTTTCATTTCATTTGAAAATGACCATCTGTCTATGCAGAATGCTTTCTTCAGCCTGCAGATCAGGAAGAGTACTGCATGGAAACAACTCGCAATGCTGACTCTAATGTCTAAAATGTTAAAACAAAAGTAAGTGTTGCCATTTGTGATCACAGCTATGTGGTTTTCCTCATGGGATAAGGTGCAGTCCTCTACATATTTATGTAAAAGTCACATACATACCTAAGTGCACACATGAATGCACCTCTTTATGTGTGTTTTGTACCAAAAATAATGCTTAATTGCATGGTGTCGATTTCCAAACCTTTAACCTTAAAAACACCTAAAGAGTGGCTTTAAAAAAAAAGAAATAGTAATAAAGGTTTCAAAGCAAAGGTTTGAAAGGGGCTTGAGATTCAATTCTGAAGTGTAAAACTATATCCAGACAGCATAACACATATGAACAGTATAGTAAATGTGATGTGATGCTCAAGGAACACGTATTAATATTTTAGTGACTTCAGCTATTAGGCTGAGAAGCATAATGTTCCATGAAGCAAAACAAGGATGATATGGAAGTATTAGGTTCCCCAAAAGGCTGTTTATTGTTGCATGGACTTCTTATAACTGTGTGTGTGCCTAAAAGACTAAGAAACTAAGCCATGGTAGTCCTCCAGGGGATAAGGAGCATATTATTGCTAAACAGAGTAGTGGCATATTGGTACAATAACATTTTGAAAAGGTAAAAGGTAAACATTTTGAAAAGGTAAAAGATTAGTGGACTCTAAGGGAAGATCCTTTGCTTATCAGCCCTTTCAAAATTTTACATTCCTGCATTGCAGGGGGTTGGACTAGATGACCCTCGAGGACCCTTCCAACTCTACAATTTACTATTCTACTCATGCTTTAGTTCCCTCCCGATCTCTTCTCTCCCTGCCCCTTTTACCTCACACTACTATCTCAATGGGTGATCAGTTACAAAGGAAGAACAAGCCCCTGTACTTTTAGC